CCCCGCCCCATCCTGCCTAGTGGCAGCCTTAACTCTCAGACCAGGCTGTAAGCAAACCAAGCCCTGATTCCCTAGAGGGCTGCAGATGGGATACCTTTGTCTGGGGACAGGAGTCAGGCAGGGGGGTTGGGCCAAAGGAGCAGGAATTAGGAGTAGCTGACTAACCTCATCAAAAGTTAATTAGTATCATTCGGAGGAGACCTGCTTTGATGGCTAGAAAAGAGTGCTTTGCAGCCCACTTCTCTGATAGAGCCACAACAAGGTCCTGTGATGGGGTTTAGAAGTACTCAAACATCTTGAATTACAGAATGTTTTTACTTTCAGTATTCTACGTCAAAATGCAGCCTCGCTAAGATCTGTGGGGGAGCCTGCTTTAATGTGAAGTGGAACTTGCTTTGTAATGAGCATAGCCACTGTTCCTGCACCAGTGGGTACTTCTAAAGTGCCTGAAAACAGTTTGTTCTCTTCTGCGGTGGGTGTGAACCAACCCTGAAAGCTTGTTTACACCATTGGGTTGTTTAGTAATATGAGACAGAAACAGCCCTCATTCCAAATAAACAGTGCAAAGGCAATGTGGCGACCGCAGCCCACACGCACCTTCCCAAAGCTCCCTGGGGCCAAGCTGACACTGTGACAAGCTACCCTGGCCCATCTTTTGGGAAAGGCTAAAATCGGGAAGGAAATGCGTTTACGCTGGTTGTGGTTCTGAGGGCATGTCTTTTCCCAGCTTAACCCCTGGAGTCAGCACAGACTAAAATAAAGCAAGCCTCTCAGGCTATTGGTGGGACCGCAAAGCAATACAACCTTTTCAGAGGGCAGTTTAGCAACAGATGAAAAGAAAATGCACATACTCTCTGGCTCAGCACTTTCATTGCTAGGTATCATGTACAGAGGCGCCTGCCTGAGTGAGTGAAGGTGCACACACGAGTTCACTGCTACATTATTGGCTTGTTGAAAAATGCAGGCAACCTGCACATCCACCATAGGGAACTTTCAGTACATTCTGGGTGAGCCACGTGATAAAGCCCGAGGCAGAGTGAAGTAGATCTCTGTGCCAACACAGAGAGATGTCCAAGCTATGCTAAGCGGGAAAAGCAATTGTCACATGAAAGGCACATCATATATATGCTGTATATGCAGAAAACACATCTAAACCATACACAAGAAAAAGGTAGACACTGATTACTTCTTCGGAGGAAGAAACTTAAAAATATTTTTTAAAAAGTAAACTTTTGTAATTTAGAAAGTTTAAAATTTAAAAATGTCAGCCAAGGCCCTGGCCGGGTGGCTCAGCTGGTTGGAGCATCATCCCCGACACCAAAAGGTGGCAGGTTCGATTCCCGGTCAGGGCACATGCCCATGTGGCGGGTTTGATCTCGTCTGGGCATGTGTGGGAGGCAACTGATCGATGTTTCTCTCGCACATCGATGTCTCTCTCTCTCTCTCTCCCCGCCTTCCTTTCTCTAAAATCAATAAAAACTTAATGTTAAAAAAAAATCAGATAAGGATTCCCGTTTCTCTAGTTCTTGCCCCATGACTGGAAGTATGAGATCACTTCCAGAGGCTCCACCCTGGAGCTAAGGAGATACGTGTGGCACTTCATTCGTTTATTTTTTTTTGTGGCAAAACATAAAATTGGCCATTTTAACCATTTTTAAGTGTATTATTCAGTGACATTAATTATGTTCACAGCTTGTGCAACTATTGCCATTACCTTTTTCCAAAAGTTTTTCATCACTTGGACTCCATTTGACCTTGAACTCTGTGGCATGGGGCCTGTGAAGCCCTGCTCTACCTTCTCAGGTAACAACCTGTGGCCCAGGGCAGTTGAGCTGCCCCAGTGGCTGGCTGAAGACCCTTTCTCTCTCTTCCCTGGAGCTGCCTCAGCTATAAGCACCTGGCCTCACTTCTGTGTCCTCTGGGCCCACTTGGGGAGAAGGCATGGGACTCTCTTTGAAAGGGGGTCCGTGGAGCTTCCATGCCTCTGCAGGTCACTGAGAGTCTCCCTCTGAGGCCTGGGTGAAGGTGGGCCCCTCTGCTGGCTGGCCTCCCCTCTCTGGGCTTCCTTCTCAGGAGGAATAGTGGGAATGGGGCCTCACCTTGGCTGCCTCTCTGCTCTTTCAGGCATCACAGCTGCTGCCCTGGCTACGGGTGCCTGCATTGTGGGCATCCTCTGCCTTCCCCTCATCCTGCTCCTGGTCTACAAGCAAAGACAAGTGGCCTCCAACCGCCGTGAGTATCCCTGCCCTCCTGGGTGTGGGGTGTGAGTGACCTCCAGCTGCCAGTTTAGCCCCTGGGATTAGCAAAGGCAAGAGGCAGGGCAAGTTCTCTCTGTTCCAGAGATGGGAGCTACTGTAGGCCCAGCAGGGAGCTGAGCTCAATGGCAGAGAGGAGGGGACTCAGACATGCCATTTCCAGGGCTTGAGTGCCCACCAGCCCCAAGCAGTGCTGGCTTTGTCACTCAATAAATATCTGTTGGTGAGTGAGTCATCATCTGGAGCAGTTCAAATTGGTTTATAAACATGCTGCTGCTCAGAGATCCTTTGGGGACCTGCTTTAATGTATAGATGGGTTTGTTTTGCTATTAGCATAGCAATATTTGGGGCAAAAATGATCTTTGGATTATAACTGGGAAGGATCTTGGGGATAAATTACTTTTATAGCTGAGAAACCTAAAATCTGCAGCATTAAATAATTAACCAAATGTTACCTATCTTAGTAAGTAGCTGAGCTGGGACTCAAACTCAGAGCTTTCGTCTCATGCTTTTTCTAGAGAGTATAATCTCACCATATAATAAAAAATGCTCATTAGCATGAATGTCGTAGCCAACAACCCCTAACTGGCAAGGCTGCTGTGCCCGGTACCCTGCAAAGCTTGTTATATACATTCTCTCACTTATTTCGCATAATGACTCTTAGGATTTGGTCTTTCCATTGTCCCATTTTACAACTGAGCACACTGAGGCACAGAGAGGTTAAGTAATGTGCTTAAGGAACTGCACAGCAAGTAAGTGGTGGAGCCAGGCTTCAAGTCAAGGCAACAGACACCTTTGCACACTCCTCTGCAGGTGACAGTGCCCTTTGCTTTCTTTTGACCTTACCCATAGCCTTGGCCAGTCTGAGTCCTCCAGGGGCAAGACAGTGGGGATTCCTCTGCCCTTGACCCTTGCATTGCCCCTCCCCCCCTTTCCCTCTGCTTGGTTGCAGAAGGTAACCGAGGGAGAACTGCTTTGTCACCAGGTGGCTTTTGGCTCACACCTGATTTCTTTTGGCCGGACTGTAACAACTCGCACCCCTCTCTCCTGGGGGCCCAACATGGAGTTCCACGGAGGGTCACTCAGGGGCTGAGGCCCCTCTCCCTTACTTTCAGGACATTCGTATCTCACAAAACCCACCACAGCCTACCTATACAATACCCTGAGGTTGGGGGTGGGGCAGTTAAGTGGTTGGAGCAGAAAGAGGAACCCAGGGGCTCAACCAGGAAGGAGCCAGCAGCTCCTGCTCATCTGCGTAGCATTTCTACGATGGTGGGTGAGGGGCAGGAGAGAGACCTGCTCTGCTAGGCTCGGCTCCAGATAAAGAGGCCGGTCCTGCCCCCTTACTCCAGACTACGGTGCTGTCTCCAGCGGGGAACAGGAACTGGAAAACAGATTCCAGGCAGAGGATGTTGGGTGGGGGAGGTGCTGCTGTTCCTGCTTTTGTTGCCTCACAGCCTTCCTCACAGGGTCCCCAGAGGTCGTCTAAGACTCTTGCCCATGTTCCAGGAAAGAAAATCAGGAGGAAGGAAAATCAGAGAGGGACATCCCCAGGCCAGAGCACTGTGCGAGTGTGCTGAGGACACAGGGAAACGGGGTCAGCCTCCAGTATCTCCTACTCCATGCACTGGGACGCCTCTCAGGGCTTCCCAGATGAAGGGACCAGGAAGGGACAGATGAGCTGGATGCTGCAGAACTGGCCTGAAAGAGGGAGCAAGTGGGTACATTGAGCCAACCAGGGCTGCGCTATCACCAATGTTGAGCACATCCTCTGAAATGCCAAACGAACCCCGTTTCTGTGATGGGCACCCCCTTCATGGCATCTTATCCCTCAATTTAATATATGCAATAACAGAAAGGTGTTAATAACTTATCTCTAATAAAAGCATATTTGAAGCCAGTCCCCCGACCCTTTCCAAAAAGAAGTAATGAGTTGCATGACTGAAGTCTTTAGAGACAGACATGAGAGATGCCAGAGGGGACGATCTAGAGAAAGCAGGCGCAAACTGGAGAGGGAGTGGAGGTTTGGGTCATTTTCCTTGATCTAGACTCAAGAGAAGCAGCTGCTGGAATTAAGGGAACCGAAGTCACCTGGGAAATGCCAGGAGACGGGCCACAGGGCAAAGGCTGAATGGCCCAGGGCCTGGTGCGAAGGGTGAGTTCAGGAATGAGCCCCACTCAGGAAAAAAGAAAGAAAGAGGGCTGCGATCACCGTGGGGGGCAGTCTGCTGCAGAGGCCAATGGGTGTGGAAACCGATCCTGCATGAGAGGGGGGCTGGTTTCCCCAGCTCTAAGGTGGAACTGCCAATCCTCACCGCAAAGAATGGAGAGGATGAACTGAGGGACCGTAGGGAACCCACATGAAACCTGAAGCACAGGAGTCCCCGTAAACAGTAGCCATGTTTCCAACACTGCAGAGATTTCGGGAAGTTTTGTGCAACTTCCTTGTGTTTTGTTGTTGCACTCCTCCCCCATCCTCTGTTTCCCCATAGTTATCACCAGTAAAGCGCTCTTAAAAACGAGAAGGATCTGTGGGAGTACATGGGGAGCTGCAAGAAAGAGGGAAGCTGGAGCCACGGCGTTTGGCTGGTGTCCAGTTTGGGGGTGGGGAACACCAACAGTGAGGCAGGGTGGCAGCAGCTTGGATGAGCAGAAAGTGATGGAATGGCTGAGAAGTGATGGGGTCTCAGGCTCTAAGAGATGTCAACTCTGAAGCCACCCTGTTATGCAACACGGAGGATGGGACAGAGAGGCCCTTGAACAGGAATTGACCTGGCCACACTCCCACCCAGTAAATCACGGATAAAGACCAGACTGTGGCAACTGTCCAAAGAGGAAATAGCAAATTCAAGAGCCATGCCTTTGTTGATGCTTAAATCCTGAAGGTCTAATACCGCCTAAGTCAAGCTATAGGAGAAAGCATTGGTGCCTTTGGTCTCCTGGTCCTACACACTTGAAAAATGCAGCCGGAGTTTCACTTGTCACTGGTCAGACATGCCGCTCACTGGTAAACACACAGAGTGCCACTGTGTGGGCCCCCTGAGATAACAGGTGTGGGATCTAGGGCCAGGCACAGCCCTGCCTGGGCTTACTTCCCTTCCCCAGAGGACACCTGCCAGCAGGCAGGCGCAGGGATGTTATGTTATCTGGGGAAGCCTTCCTTTTTTGACCAGCTTTTCTGTCTGTCTGTCCCTAGGTGCCCAGGAGCTGGTGCGGATGGACAGGTAAGGCCCATGGAGACCTTCTCAAAAACCTCCTACAGCTGCTCCTGCCCCGACTCAAAGCTTGACAGGCTTTCTTTTGCCTCCGAAGGCTTGTGGCCCTGTGGGGCAGTGTCTATATCCAAACTGTGGGGGAAGTTAATGCAGAAGGGGTGGGGTAACTTTCAGCCAGGACAGATTGACTCTCCCCCCTTCACCAGGATCCTTTCCCCTTTCTTCCCTGGTCTCTGGTACCAGGACAGGGGTCAGAATACAGACATGGCCTCCCTGGTCCTCCCTGTGCCCTAGGCCAGATGTCAGGAAAGAGATATTTCTGGGCAGTAGGGGCCCTGTTCAGCTGCCTAGCACAGCTGCTTAGAAGAGCATCAGCCACCTGCCACTGAGGCCTACATATCTGTGTGGGTTGGCTGTTCTCCCTGCCACCCCTCACCCAGCAGGCTGAGCTCCTCTACTGTAGGATAAACTGTGCTCTCACCTTTGGGTCTTAGTGGTCAGTGGGCTGGGGTGGCGGAGGGGGAGGAAGCAGCTGAGCTGGCACCAACACTGAAACATGCAAAGAGGCCAGCACACCTGGAGCTGGAGCCCCTCCCTACAGGGCACTCCAAAGACAAAGCTGTGAGTCAGGCACCGGCCCACATGGCAGAGGCTGACTGGGCTCAGAGGGGGCAGGAGGTCGGGGATGGAGTGGATAGGGGAGTGTGTGCTGGTGTGCCCTGGGCAGAAGCTGGCATTGTGGGCATGCTCAGGAATGAGCCACACTCAGGAACTGGCCCTGGTACCTGCAACACCAAACCCAGAGCTCCTCTGGGTGTTTGAAAGGGATGATTTTCAAGACAGGCTGCAGAAAGTCCTGCTAGTGATCCTACTAGAGTCTCAGAGTTGGAGGGGTCTTCAGAGGTTGTCCCATGCCGAAGAGGGTAAGAAAAGAACCTCTCCCCTCAGCTCCAGACCAGCTGTGGGGACATTCAATCCTAATGCCATTGACTCTACTGACCAAAGAGAAACTTGTTCCCAGATTCCTGAGGCCAGTGTTGTGGAAGTGCTTTTGACCCTGGGCTTCCTGGCAGGGCCCAGGGCAGATGGTCGGACCATAGGACGCAGCTGGAGTCAGATGTCTTCAGCTCAGGGTAGGGGGGAGAGTGCAACCGTGGCCTTTTCTCTCTGGCCCTGGATCCTCACTCTGAGGCCTGGAGTGGGAAGGCAGGTGATGGGAAGGGAGCAGAGAAGTAGGGCAGGTGGGGTGGGCAGAGGTGCAAAACCCCAGGCAGCACAGATGACTTTTGGTTCTGATTCTCTGACAGCAACGCTCAAGGAATTGAAAACCCAGGCTTTGAGGTCTCTCTACCTGCCCAGGGGATGCCGGAGGCGAAGTCCAGGCCCCCATTGTCCTACATGGCCCAGCGGCAGCCTTCTGAGTCTGGGCGCCACCTGCTTTCTGAGCCCAGCACTCCTCTGACTCCAGCAGGCCCTGGGGATGTCTTCTTCCCATCCCTGGGTGAGTGCATGATGGCCTGCAAGGTCATGACCTCCCCTCAACCTGCAGAGTTATCAGCCTCACTCCCCACTTCCCTGGAGTCCTCACAGTCTCCTGGTGTGGCGCTGGGGGGGTGAAGAACAGAGTAGCCCCCCATTCACTCTGCTTCTCCTTTTTTTTGCAGACCCTGTTCCTGACTCCCCAAACTCTGAGGCCATCTAGACCAGCTAGGGGCCAGTGGGCAACTGTGGCTGGGCCTCGGGCAGGTGTATGTGGGCCAGTCTGGCCCTCTGAGTGGTCCCTTGGCCTCGACCCTGGTTTCCTCCCTCCAGCTCCAGATGCTTTGAGATATCCTGATGGCCAGATTCTTAACCCCTCTGGATGCTACATGGCAGAAATGAGAAGGTGTTGGATCACTCAGCTCCTATCTCAAGAATGGTGGGGTGCTGGGATCCCATCCAAGACCTGAAATTCACCAGCTACAGGTGCCAAATGATCTACACCCCAGAATTTCCAGCTCTGTGGCAGCCTCTCTGGAACATGAGCCTTGGGACTTGACAGATGTGACAAGATGGACACTGAGCAGATCCTGCAATGCGACTCTCCCAGGAATGAGACACAGGACTAGATGTAGAGAGACTCCTCCCACTGTGTTGGACTGGCTCCCCCATCTCGCCTGAGGCTGCTTAACTGTCAGGCTCACTCTCTGTAACCTTGGGGCTCGGGGCTGGGCCTGCCTGCCTCCAGGGCCATGGGAGCCTTCCCAACTGCCTCCTACCAGTAACGTCTCCTAGGAGCTCTCAACAGCTTAAACAAATCTGGGGCTCCCACTGTCTGCACTCTGGTCTCCAGAGTTCACTGGCCAGAGGCCCCAAAACAGGAAGTACACATTGGGGCATGGTGGCCATTGTGAGCCAACTGGTATCTTGGGCAATGGAGGCCGGGACAGAGGTTGCACACCCACCACAGATGGGGGTGAGGGAGAACCCAGGGCCTGCTGGGAAGCTGAGTGGAGAGGGCTCCACTAATCCGTCTTCCCCATTGCTCTCCTCCTCTGCTCAGTTTGGCTAATAGAGAGGGTGACCAGATAATGTATTGTCCAAACTGTGACACTTTTGACAGTGAAGACGGGGTGCTATTAAAACTACACGGTAACAGGTGCAAACCCTGTGGACAGACCCTAAGAGCTAGGTTTAAATTTCTACTCTGCTTCTGAGGTGCCTGAGACCTAGTTGAGGCCTAGGGAGCCTACCTGCCCCCTGTACTCCC